TGATAATTTTTATTTGCTTTGTACGTATGTAAATGTATATAGAACATAATAACACTTTTATTGTTGCAATATGTGTATGTACACTTTACGTAAAACCTTGAGAATATAAAATATCGAATGAACTTTTGAATTTCACTGTACAATATTATTTAAAATAATTGAGTGAAAAAAATATTAAAGTTCATTTAAAAAACTTAAATATAAACTATACTAGTACTTATAACATTTAAAAAATAATATTAATTTACAAGTCGATATAATATTAGAATAAATTCATAAATGTTTATTAACAGTATATTATTTATTTTATCAATAATATATTCATTTATATATCAAATACATATTATGTATACACTATAATATATTATAGTGTATAATGTTATAATAATATTTTTTAACACAATAATTATTCTTTTGTTATAAAAATTATGTACATATATGTATGTATATGTATTACAAGTTAATTATGTACTTAACTATCTATTTTTATACTTAATTTCCAACTTTTATACTTAAATTCCAAAATTCCATGACGACGCCTTTTTCAATTTTATATTTTCTGAATAATAAACAATTTGGTATAAAATTTGCTTTTTAATATGGTAAATGTATAATTAAAAATACATAAAATGTATAATATATACAGATATGTATATAATATATACTTGGGTAGTCTCCTCGTTCTTTTATATAACATACGGGGTATATAAATACATATATAAGGACATATGTAAAGAATAATATACATATTATAATACGAGTATCATTTACTATAAATATAACAATATTATATAAAAAAATTCAACGTATGCAAACATACGTACATATATTTATAGAAACATATACATTTTTACAGCATGATATTTTTTTACTTCTTATCATTTATTTATATTATATTTTATAATACGTACATTCATTTATAAAATTATATATACAAAAGTATAATATTATATTTTTTAATATGCTCTGATCAATATACATATCTACACACATGTATGAAATTATAACACTTTTTATTTTCATATTTAGAACACAAAACGATAAGAATAATTAAGATTTATTTACCGACAAGTTTACATTATAAAATTTGTTTTATACATTTATTTATATACATAAGCATATTATATAAAATTGTTATATTTTTGTATAATATTAAAGTTTAAATACATATCTATAAAAATATATGTATATTTATAAAAATTTTTTATAAATCATGGATATTTTTATTAATAAAAATAATTGTTGATTTTCAAGTAATAATGTTGAAATGGAGTTTTTATATAATTTTTTTAGGATATTTTCAATATTTTTGAATGTTATTTAAAAAACATGTGTAAACCGGATAACTAAACGTCAATTAATTTAATTCTATATTAATAAATATTTTATTTATTCAGTAAATTTATTCAATAATTTTAATTATATTTATTTATTCAAAAAATATAAAAATATTTGTTGCTTGTTTTAACAAAATAATTTTCAAATCAAATTTTGTTCTTAAGATCTAAAAATTTAGTTGTTTTACTAAGTCATTGAACCTCTTAAACTTTGATTCAGAAAAGGTTTACGAAAAAAGTTATAGAATAAGAAAAAGAATTAACTTCAAACCAATATTTGCGGGGACAAATTTAAAATTTGACATACGAAAATTGACATCCTACAATTTGAACGTCAGTGTCAATTTCCATATTTACGTTTCATATAACGGTTTTTGGACATATTCAATTGCCTGTGCTGAAAAGTTTACAAAATACATACATTATGTATATACTATATTCACCAATCAGGGTACTTCCAAACACAAATATTTCAAATTTACGGTATTTGTTTAATTCAAAAGATTATTTTAAGGCTAAAGATAATATTTTAATATTTGAACTTATAAATGTATATGAAGATAATTAAAGTAAATTATTTTAAATTAAATAATTTTAATTAAATAAAGATATACTTATATAGAAATACTAAATTCTTTTATAAAATTTAAATATTATGTATATAAAGAAAGATATAAAAAGTTGAAAGAAATTTGTTGAGCATAAAATATAAATTTTGTTGTTGGCAAAGCTTTTAAAATCGTATTTTTTATTTTTTTATGACTTTATTTCTTATATAAAAATTTAACGTATCTAACTATGTATATAATGTGCATATACATAAATATGTATAAGTAAAAAATAAAATTGTATACAAAATTTTAAATGCTTTAAATACAAATGTATAGATTATACAAAACTGTCTTATTTTTGTATGTATATAATACATACATATATATACATATTTACATTTCAAGTCTTCATTTGTGATATAGCTGCTACAATTATTGTTTGCTGCCAATTTTATGTATTATGTACACATATATATTGTACATACTTATATATTTATGCAATACTATAAAAAGTATCTGGTGCCAGAATACTAAAATCTAAAAATATTAAAAATACAGAACTGAATCCAAATCAGACTTCGACCCACTTGATATGGGTAAAAAGAAAATTTGATGGGTGTATAAAGTACATCACTCTTGTGTACTACATACACCCATCATACTGCTATTAGTTATATTTTAACATATACGAGTATAACATATTTGTAGATATGGATATAAAGTGAAGTGATATTTGAACAATGTAATAAAAGTTGTTTTTAGTACAACTTTTAGTCGAATATCGATTTTCGAATTTATTAATTCTGTGAGGATAAAATTTCACGAGAACTTTTAATTTATGAAAAGTATTTTGTTATAGGGTGTGGTTCTCCGTAATGTTTTCCGTAAATGCAATGTAATATAAGTTCTTATGTACATTTAGGTATGTAAGTATGTATATGTAATTGTATTAAATTTTTATTTTTGTTTCTGCAAAAGATCATTAATTATAATGGCCTTTTTTAATTATTAAGTACGCATTTATTTTTTTTGTAGAGTTTTTTTAACGATTTCTATGGAAATTTTCTGCAAATTATTTTCTTTTTTAATTCGAGAAATTCCCGGGATTTAAAAATAAAAATAATTTATTCTTTAAGGTAAATTAACTTAAATATTTTTGTATTAATGTATATGTTTGTACATACATACATACATATACATTTAATTTTGTGTATTAAAAGCAGTTTAATAAGTCTCAAAATGATAATTAATTAGAATAAGTACTATGTATAGATAAAAAAATTTATTCAAGTATTTTTTAGATAAAATTTTGATAAAATGTAAAATGAAGATGCTATTAAATTTTAAAAGTTTTTTGGTCTTTAATTAAAACATTAAAAAACGGAAGCATTTTAAAAATTTATGAAATACTGATTTGGAATTATAAAAAATAATACTTTTAGAATCCAATATCAAAATTTGCAACTACTTAAGTATTATACTTAAGCTTTCATTTAGAAAGCTCATATTATGTGTGTTGCATTTACTGAATTTGTAAGCTCAACGCTAAGAAAACTGAACGAATTTCTCGAACTACGAAAAAAAAAATTGGAATAAATTTACTGTTAATGGTATTTATTAAATACGTGTTAGGCTTGCCTATATTCCATCCATTAAATCGAATTGATTTTCAAAGAAAACAAAAAATTAATTTAAAATTTTAGTTCTTTTAGTTACAAGTTACTTGTCCAAATAACTTTTTTTTATAAATTGGCATTTAAAACTACGATAATTCGTGTTTTATTGTATGTTGTTGCTGCGGCCTGCGGCCAGTTTTGAAGTGGGAACTTATTTTGTTTAGGGCATAAGTGCTTGTCTATTGCGCTTATAAATTTATACTTACTGTTTTTCAAGCTCTTTTGACAAATGTCAAGGTTTTCTAATTATTATTCTAAGAACTTGCATACATTTATTAACTTTCAAATCACATGCCGTGAAAAATTTAATATACATATATATGAACTTCGCTTAAAATTTCTAATAATATAAAATTCATTTTTGAAAATTAGGTTTATTTAAGAAAGTTTTTCTTATCAATAATTTATTCGTTTTGATATATTCGTAAATACCCAGTGACACAGGGAGACTGAATTGACACAAATAACAATTGCTTAAGTGTAGTGCAGTCATTCGAATTTGTGTTATTATTGTATTTGTTATAAATATTAATTTTCTCTTTTAAATTTAAAATTCAAATGCAGTTTACATAGCGTTGTAGTATTCATTTTACGGAATTATTTTTATTTAAATGCTAATAATTGTCATTGCAATAAAATGTACTCTGTATGGTGATTAATGCTTTTACGAACATTCATTTGAAAAGCTCTGAATATGTACATATAAAATGTATACATAATTGGTTGTATCATATTTTTAATATATGAAATTATGTTTTAATAATAAAATATAATTTTATTTAATATATAATAAGTATGCCATGATTTTTTAATAAAGCAGAACAAAAATTACACTGAAATTTAAAAATGTTGCAAGATATTTAACTGTGTTCAAAAATGTCTATTTGGCAAATATTAAACAATTACTAAAAGAATATTTAAAAGGTTACACAAAAGTAGTTTGATGGTTTTTTGTTCTTTTCTTTTTTGATATAAAATTTTTGTTATACGAAATATATTTCTAGGATAGAAGATTGCTGCTAATTGGTGTAAAATAAATTATAAGTTGCCCTTGACTCCAATTTTCATTTTTGTTTTTAGGAGAACAATAAAAGTGCAACGCAAGTTTTTCTTGTGTTTAAGCAAATCTTGTACATTTTAATTCCGAAGATTAGGTTTTTGAAAATACCTCTATTTTTCAATAGGTAAATAAAATTGTTGACACTTTTGCTTTTCGAATTAAAATACTGTATTAATTTTACTTTAGCCTCCTGGACTTTGTTATACACATTATATCTAAAATATTTACATAGTACTTTATTTTTGAAATTTATTTTTTATGACATGTTTTATGACAATATTTTACATGAATAGCTTAACTTTCATATATAAATTTTTTCATTATAAAATTTAGAATATTTTACTAATTCTATATTATATTTATTTTTTATTTTTAGATCTTCCTCCATTGAGCTATATTGATTTGTTTCCTAATTCCCCAAACTTTCAAGGTGAGGAAAGTATACGTACTGCAAGTACGGAAAGCGGTTATAAATCTTCGTCAGAATCAAATTTAGGAAATTTAAAAATAATGAATTCGAGATCATCTAAGAATAATAGCAATCAAAATAAAAATGTAGCAGTAAGTCCATCACCATCACCTAGTTTCGCATCAGAAACAGAAAGTTTTGAGGATAATCCAAGTGTAAAAAAGAGAAAAAGAAAACGTTTTTGCTATACATGTGATACCGAATTTAGAAGAAGTAAAGATTTTTTGTCACATTTGAGAGGTCATGTAACAATGCCATACTTGAATATCAAAAAGCTTCCCGATGACAATATTTATGTTAAAACATATTTAGAAAGTAAAAATAAATCAGCTGAACAACCCTCAAAATGTATAAAATTAAAAGTAAAAAAATTAGCTGGTATGTTAAATGATGAAAATCAATTTAAAATCATTGAAGAACCAACTGTAAAAATAAAAACTGAACGAATAGATGATTTTGAAAATTCAGAAAACGTCACAGAAAAACAAGCTGAGTCTGAAAAAGTAGGAAAACCAACAGTAAGAGTGTTGCGACCTGATGAAATAAAAAAAAGTAAAAGCCCACCAATAGAATCAGTATCCCAACCAATGAGAATGTTGGAAAATATGCAAATTCCAAACAATAACAATAAGGCCAGTGTGATCTCTAATCCCATAAGTGAAACGGGATCAGATGGATATTTCGAATGTCCAACACTGGACGGACTTGATCAATTTGTTCAAGAAGGAGGTGGGGAAAATGCTGATGTTCTGTTAAAGAAACTTTTAAATTCAAATCAATCAGATTTAAATATGAACTTACTTGAACCGGATCAATGGTCTGATAATCCTATTCCAAATGAATTTATTTCTCTCGATAGATTAGCTATTTTCTGTACAGTATGTAATGCAACATTTGAAAATGAAGTGCAGTTATATGAACACAAACGGGTCAGTGGTCACGATATGCCAATAAATTCATCAAGCTCGCTGTCACCTCATTTGCCAAATCAAATGCCAATGCATCGCGCTTTGCATCCCTCACATCCTTCATATCATCAACAACGCTTTAATTTTCAAAATCAACAAGAAATGAGGTATTCACCTAATAACCCACATGCTTCGCCAGATATGCGAACAAATGGCATGATGTATCCTCCTGGCCACCCTCACCAGCAAGGAAATGATCACCACTTGCAACCAGGATCTCCTTATTCAAATTCTTATATGTATGGTCCACAGGGGCAGCAACTAATGAATTACTCCTCGCAACAGCATCAAATGATGATGCGTCGGCAACCCCCTCCTTTATATAGGGTTCCACAACCTCAACCGATGAGGCCACCGAATCTAACACATGCATCGCATCCATGTATGCCATATAGCAACTATCATGAGTCCTATTCAATGAATTCGGAAATTGCCAGAGCTGGAGAGTTTATGAAAACTAGACTTCAAAAAGATCCAAATTCAATTACTCCCCCAATAACGGCTGACCAAATTAAACAAAGTAGTTCACCACCCGTAATCATGGGTACACCCACGCAAATAAGGCCAAGGTTTCTGACTCCACCAGTGAGACAAGAGTTGTTACGACAACATGTAGTAACTCAACATCAAGGAGCACAAACAACACGTCCAGCACATCCACAACATTCACAGCACTCTCAACATCCGCAACATCCTCAACTTGCTCAACAACGAATGCATCCACAAATGGCTGCTAGAATGGTGAACAGTCAGGGTCCTCCAAGTATGATACGACCTCCTGGACCAGGAATGAAAATGCCGGGCATAATAGTTCCTAAGCAACCGGGTTCTTCAATGCCTCCAAACATTCAAAGAGAAATACCACCCGGACCAGGTGTTCGAATAACTGGGGTAACAGCACCTCGGGACTTTAAGTTAGTTCCGAAACCGACCGCTCCTTCTCCAAAACCAGCAGAATCTTCGCAATTGGGTCCAGCAATCAAAAAAATAAAGTTAGATTTAAAGCAACCTAGGCACAATACAAGCTCGCCATCACAACAAAATCGTTCAGATGGCTTACCAATAATAAAAAGTGTAATTGGAAATGCGATTAAGTTTCATAATCCAAACAGTCCTAAATCAGCCACACCTCCTGCCACCGACAGAGAGTCTCCGATACAATTGAATGATCAAATTACTTTAAGTATGAAATCTGGTGAAAATAAAAAAGATCCAAAGGAAGTAGCCAATTTGTTAGCTACACGTGGTATCATCGTCACCCAAAAAGGTGGAACAAAATCAAAGGAATCAACTGAAAATAGTTCGCAAAATTCAAATACACCCCCAATAACTGCTGCTAAAGAAGCTGTCCAGAAACTTCAAATGAATAATGCAGTAAGTATAATATCAAAAAAGAAATCTGAAGAAGTGGAAAATACTGAAAGCAATTCAAATTTACCCGATTCAAATTCCGAAACCTCAATCGCTTGCAATAACGATAAATGTCAGGAAAAGTTTTCTTCAACAGAACAACTTAATAAACACATTAACCGAGCACATCCTTCCAAAAATAGTAATACCTCAATGAATACCTCAAGTAATCCTAATGTATTAAATATAAGAGCTTTCAAATGCAAAGTTTGCCCAGCGTTGTTTTCAAGTCAAGATGGTGTTCAAGATCATCAATGGAAACAACATAAGATAATGCATTCTAGTGCTGATGAACTTGGAGTACCGGTTATAGATTTAAGAAATGAATTGACAAAAAAGAAACTTGCCGCATTAGGAATAACAAATTATATACCGCTCTGCAATAAAACTTCTACTCATTGTTTTGGATTTCCAATTGTTTCTGTTCAAGGGGCCACTAATTCAAATATTTGTAATCTTTTAGGTTTAGGTGCATCATCCGTTCTTTCATTAGGCCCAGTAAAACCCATTCCAAAAGGTTAAAAATAATTTAAAAATTTTTAAATTATGTAAATAATTAATGTAATTAATTTATTTTAAAATATTATTAGGTTAAAAAATATTGTATATTTATATTATTTTCATGTTATTTTTTAAAATTTAATTATATGTATAACAAAATATAGTTTTAGTATATATGTAAAATCATAGAATTGTATATATTGAATTGTACAATTTAAGAGTAATTCTACAGTGACTGAATTCATATTGAATTGGCTGGTTTTTGTTAATACTGCTATGGAATATTACATAAGGTTGTGATTTGATTACTTTTCAAAAAAATATTACAGATTTATTTTTGATTTATGTATCAAAAAACGTTATTGTTTAAATAATATGTTTAACTTTATGGTTATTGTAACGCATATTTTTGGAAATAACGCTCTTTTCTGAATTGCATCTTAGATTATTTAGGTTATTTAAATTCCCACAGTAGAAGTAACTTTTATTTATTTAATTCATTGAATAAATTCCACCGTGGACACAGTGGACATTTTCAATTCCGTAACAGAATATTTTGTATGTTTATGACAATAAAATTAAGTACATATTGCTATATTATGGAACAAAAATAATGATTCCGTAATTTTATTGAAACCCAATTCTAAGAAGTAATTTAGAATACAGGCTATATAGTTAAATTTTGCAAATATGTATAAATTTAAATAAAAGTTGTTAAAGCCTTAACCTTTTTGTTCTAGAAATTGTATGTATCAAAATATTGTTAGGAATATTTTTTTGCAAAAACTTTTTATTAACCTTAAGAATTAATAAAATTTAAATTTTGTTTTAATATTTGTATATAAATTTTAATATATTAAATTTGTATAAAAATATTATATTATATTGAAAGACTTATTCAAAAACTGTACGACAATATTAAGTTAATTAAAACAAAAATATATTTGAATTGCTTTGGTGCTAGTTCCTAAGTATTGTTTAAAAAACGTTAACATCTTCAAAAAAGTCAATTTTATAATAACACTATTTCTTTGGTACATACTTAAAAGTATTTTTAATGATTTAAAACACAAATTGTATTTGAGAGAATAAATCTGCTTTAAAGAATTCGTATGCAGATAAAATGTAAGTGAAGGGATTACTGTAGAATGAAATTGTAAGTTAAAAGAAAAAAAGAAAATAATAATCTTAAAAAAAACAAGTGCACAAAATGTTATTAAATAGTAATATTAATTATTATCTAAAATAAAGTTTGAATTAAATTAAATTAAAAAAATAAGACTATAATTTATGTTCTAGAAATTTTAGTAGAAGTCCACATTTAATATTTATATAAATTAATTTATTTAATATAAATTAATTTATATAAATATTAAATAATTTTATATTAAAATTACATTTTTGAAATCATACGTGATTTTGCCTATTCAAAATGCATATTCAATTATTAAATTAAATAATATATTAGAGTTTTTCATAGTTGCAATACTGCGAAATAATAATCTGATACATATGTAATATACTTTTGAAAGATGCTCAAATAAGATAGATGCTCGGACAAAATTGCGTCTATTTTGAATTCAGTACTCGTATGTGTTTATGAACGAAAATTTTATTGTCCATATGTTTCGTTTTACATTTCATCATTTTCGCATCCTAGTAATTCTCTAAATAAATAAATTTTAATAAATCATATGAAAATCATATTTTCTTACCCTTTACTTTATATTAATTCACTTTTATGCTTAATTTACTTTGAAAATGTAAAACAAAATAAAAGCAGGTATGGTGTTTTAACTGCGACAGCCATGATAATTTAAATATGTATTTTTTGATAAGTTAGAAATGTTTATGAACACACTATTCCCCGGCCTTGGTATGAGTTGGGTTTAATTTATACAGCGTTTTTTGTGGTTATAATAAGTTGATATTAATATTAATAATTAATATATCTATTTTATATGAAAGACAAATAGGAAAATGAAAACACCAATGTACCTTGAATGATATACTTTAATTTAATTTTTAATTGAATAACAAATTTCTATTCACTTCCATTTTCATCATAAGTTTTTTTGAAGATCACAAATTTATCAATAAAATTGAATTAGCTCCCCTTATAATTAAATTAATATAGATGAGACTAATTTGATACAATTTTTCAGATGGGCATTACTAAAATTAAAAAATTATAATTTCTTAAAAATAACAAGCTTAAATATACAATGTTCAAATTGATATTTAATTTAAACATTTATTAATGTAATTATTATACGATTAATAGTTTCCTCTTATTAAATTAATATATTAATTTAAATGTTATATAATATGATAACAATTTTAATTGAAAAACTTAATTTTAAAAAATATGTAGTACTTATATAAAATATGATTTGAATTTTAAAAACTAAATTTTCCTCGACATTTAAAAAATCCAAAATTGTTTTTATTATGAATCACAGCACCAATTCCAACATAATTTTCCATTAAAATTGGACAATCTTCAAAGCAACAATTGAAATTTACACTATCTGGATTTGAGGCAGAAAATACTGCTATTAATTTATTATATAATGATTCAACTGAATAAATATTTCGTAATTTGTCTAATTCACTCGAAGGTTGAAGTGAAGACGCTTGTTCTAAAAAACAAAGAACGTAATTTTAAGAAAACAAAGTTATATTTTACAATATGTATTTATTTTACCTAAGGAATTATATAAAGGATGATCTTTAATTGTAACCCATGGAATATCATCGGCAAAAGGATTCCATGAACTTAATAGTGACAGTGGTTGCCCACGGTTCCATAACACTCGAACACCAAAATCTTTTCTTTCTCTAAAACATTTACATTTACATAAATATTTTTTGATTATACATAAATTATTTAATTTTACTAGTTGTTATGAAGTATTATATAATATAAATATAAATTTAAATGTAAAAACTGATAACTAGAACTTGATAACTAGAACTTTATTGCTGAAAATATATGCTAGTTTATTTTATCGGTTGTTTCTGGCAACATTTATATGACAAGGTATAAGAAAAGCGTGCTCGATTTTTTCGATGCAAGATTTACTCTTATTTTACGTCTCCCCTACGTATAAAACGCATTTAGGAAAAGTATACAATGTCAAGAGCTTTTACTAAACTTTTTGGAATTTGATACCTTGTAAAATTTACGTCGTAAGCGCATTATTGAAGTCACGGTTATTTAGTGACTGAAATTTGCATGTGGAGTTTTATCGAAATTTATGATAAGATGAAAAATTTATTTTCTTATTAAGTATTAATAAAAGTATTAAGATATTCGTGGGAGAAAATACGGAAAATTTGATACTATTAACATGCTTAGAATCTGTAAATACTATTGGAATGCTAAGAGACAAATTAATAAAAACTTACACTGGTCTGAAACCTGAAAAATCAAATCTATTTGCAATTGCTGTTTTTGGTTGATTTGGTCTCGTATCCATATAATTTCGGTCGGTTGCATTTTTTTTGAAACCAAAAATGCTTCCACTTATGAAAGATGCAACACCATTTGTGATACCTTCAATTCTTCTACAAAATTATAAATAATATTTATAGTTTATATTATTTTACTGCTTTTTTATGAATAAATAACTTACGGTACTAATGATTGTACTGGATATGCCAATTTGCCCTTAAGTACAGTATCAATTTGTTCTAAACGTACTTTATTGTGTTGAAGAATTTTCAATGCAATAAAATCATATTTAACTTGTAATAATGATTTCGACGTTAAAATGAAAACTCTCTCTTTTTCAGTATCCCAGTGACTAACTCTAAAATAATAAGGGGTTAAGTTTGAAATGTAATATGACATAATAACTCTTCTTTATCTTACTCTGTAAGTAACCAACTTCCTAAAACTTGAGTGTCATTAGTTGGTCTCAATAGTGTTTGAACACAATCATCGACGGTCTTCTGAAATTGACCATTGCGAAATGCGAAAAAAGTTTCAGGGGCTTGAGTGGCTGCATCTGGTTTCAATGGTGTTGATTCTTTCTTTTCATCTAAACAAGTAAATAAAGAATAGAATTTGTAATTTAAAGTAATTTAAAGTAAGTAGAAAATAATTTTACCTTCTGCACCAATGCTATCATAATAATCATCTTCAAGCATTGGAGGTGGTGACGAAATATCAGAACCACTTAAAATTGCGCTTTTTTCCATTATTCCATCATCTTTACGTGTATTATTTCGATACCGTAACGTTGATACATCTTGATTAGTGTCATCAGTGGAAATTTTTAATGTTGCACCCGTAAATTCATATGTTTCATCCTGATCAATATCGTTGTTGAGTTTATTTAATTCATTAGTCCGATACATTTTGGAATTTTTTGAACTAAAATTTGTTGTATAATTTTTTCTTGCTCTAATATTTTTTCTTTCAAAGTCAACCCTTTCCTCAAAAAATTTCAGACAAAAAATTTACTACTTCTCTTATAGTTTCTTCATCATAAAAGTTCTTTCAAATTAAAAGACTTTTTATATTTATAAAATCACATACTGATGTTGTTTTTAAATGGAAGCTTTTAAATTCTGCAATAATAATCGTTGAATTAATAAAAATATTATTTTTAACAAAATATCTTAGAAATTATAATTTCAATTAAAAATTAAAGAAAAACTAAAGTAGAGCAAAAAAACTTTTGGCACAAGGGAGTAGTAAATGTATATATGTATGTTCATTATGTAGCCTTGGAAAATTTTAAAAATTAGCAAAAAAAAAACAAATTTGTTCCTTAAGAAATTTTTTAGTTAATATACGAGTAATTTACAAATGAAAAATAAATAAAATCATAGTAAGTAAAATTAAAAATTTTCAGCTCTTTCACAATATTAATGGAAAACTTACCAATTTTTAAATAATAATGTTTATTTAACATGTTAGTGAATATTATTTACTAATAATTTCTATGCATTCTTCGCTGTATCCCTATAACCATCTCGATAATGATTGCCCTACTATTAATGCGCATGACTTCTTTAACTCAAAAAATTTCTGAGCGGTATTAATTCGTAAGCTGTTTCAACCAGTGGCTCCTGTCATCATTGTCACATAAAAGCGAATTAAAGGACGGACTGAATCTTTCCGTACAAAATTACAATGCACAATGCAACTATTTTTCTCCGTTTAATGATGACAGCAAATATTAATTAAAAAATTGTTCTGGCCATTATAGATAATTCATTATAATACATTAATTATAATGCATTATAATGAGACTTGTTCAAAATAGAAATGTGACAATATAAAATTGAAAGAAATACATGAGTTATCGATAATTTTTTTACAGGAGAAAATAATACCATGTAAAAAATTCATAGGAGAATTTTATTTTTGACAGACATGATGTGAATGATAAATAATGACAGCTTCCATTGTTTTTGTTTTTAAAATGTTGGTGTTTTAAATCAAAATTATGTTAAAATTTCTTCATACATATTACTGACATTATTACATACATATTAACTTGAACTATTTAATAGAAAACATTTGAATCGATTAATTTAAGTTTACTATAAATTTGGGAACTTCACTGTATTGCTGTTTTTTTTCTAATTTTATTAATATTGTAGTGTATTCCCCAATCGCCTTGATCGTTGCAGCTTCCCATGTTCTCATTTCAGATGAAACTTGTACTTATGATTACTTAATTATTTCTTAACTTGGTATTCTGGGATGTGACATCTTCTTCAACAGTTGGAAGTTTTAAATATTGGTGTCAGATGTGACTTTTTGGTGAATGAAACAACCACAATATTGTTTGTTTTTAACCATAACTGAATGACATAAAGCCATGCGGGTTTTATAATTAGACGATCAGATTCTGAAATTTTAATGAAAACTTCTCACTCCATAAACTAATATCCTAACGTACATACATACGTATTTGTACTTATATACAAATTTATTTATGAGTTTTTTGTACCTTAATTTGGCTTCTAGTAAAGATATTGTACACTTATGTATTAACAGAATTGCCTCAGAAAGTTTTATGAATTTGTTTTATTTTATTGGAATTCAACCAAAATAAATATTCAAGTGAAAAACAAGTTAGGCAAATATTTTTTGTTATTAACTTTTATCTTTTCTTATGTTACGTATACCTTAAGTATTTTAGGTAAAAAAGAATCTAGAAAAATGGTTCCAGAAACCGTATTTATTTACCAAAATAAATATGTGTATATTAATGTGTATAAATATGTGTATAAATATGGTTATACATATATTTTTGTATCTACGCGAGGTAGGTATATTGAGTTCGAATTCATGTTTAAAATTTTATTGATAAGCCAGTTTTATTGAAGTTATTTTGTTAGATAAGATTTCAAACATTTTGTATAAAATAAAAATGATGTTCTAACCGATTAAATACAATATGGTTTGTATTAGAGCACATTCTCCTCAACACTTTTAAAAGTTTATGCTTGTACGTATTATATTATAAGAATAGCTTTCGGGTTTAATAATCGCTTTCATTATTCTATTAAATTAATTTGTTTATTATCATTATTATGATTATACTGTGAGGAAATTTAAAGTAAAGAAATAGAAAATGGTTACTTTTGTTTTTTGCTTTTGCAAATGTTCGAAGAAACGTATAGTCTCGAACGATTAGTTTGTGACCAAAAGTAAATATTTTTTTTGAGGCATAATAATTTTATTATTTAATTGTATTAAATTGGGAAGGAATAAAGTTATAATAATACATAAAAAATAAAGAACTAGTAAAAAAAAAGTATATTTACCAATATATAACAAAAAACATAAAAACTTGAGACTCTTCGAATAGTGGAAACATAAGAGAAGTGTGAATTAAAAATTTATTAAAATTTCAGTTTTCTATAAGACCAACAGTCAGAATTAAGCTAATATACAATTTCTTTTAAAATTTTGAAAATATGCTAAAAATAAATTGTTCCTTTTTTAATATTATAATCAAGTTATTATGCACGTAATAACTTGTTTCCAATTCTATTTTGCAAAATTATCCTGTAAATTAATTTCTTACCTGTTGAGTTTATTATACTTTTAATATTATAAAATAAATGTACTTAACTGTTATATGGTAATTATATCTACATACAAATACACATACATAGATTATTATATTTTAGTTAACTATATATTATTTACTATACATTATTACAAGATTTTCATTTAATATAGTATGTGTATAACATTATGTGAACTTATACTCGTCTCAATTTAAGATTATTTCCACAAAAAAAAAATCGCTTCTCTTACAAATTCAAGAATTTCGTAAATGAAAACATATAAGAAATATTTAATATAATATAAACAGCGGCTGCCAAAGATTATAAAGATGCTTGGACTTGTACACTGACTGACATACCTACACATCATACAAAATTCAATTTGTTATCGTTTTTTATTTAAAGATTTTTTAAAATCATGTAGAAAATAATGTTTATTGATAATATTTTGTGGATTGTATTTATTAATGTATAATAAGTATGTACATACATGAAATTTATATTTTATTGATATTAAAAATAAAAACCATTTATACCACAAGTTCTCAATATTTTGAAATTTGGTCGCACGTAAAGCTTTTTAACTCTGAGAAAATATTTTCTTTTAAATTTTATTATTAGATCATATTAATTTTTAGAAAAAATTTAGAATTAAAAAAATGGTATATACTCGTATTACGTTGAATTCTAATTGATTTTGGGCAATATATTTTATGCGAATGTAGAGGAAGTATATTAAGATATTAATTACTGATTTAGCAACAAATTATTTTTAATTTAAATATTTCTAGAACTAAGTTTCGTTAAATAGAATTTCCTATCCTCTTCAAAATGTTTCATTTTGCACAAAAGAATAAAAACAGAAGTTAAAATTTATTTATTTCAAAAATGCCAAAAAAATTTTAACAATGCATATTATAATATGACTCACAACTGACATTAATTATGTGACGTTCGTTTCTTGCATTGTCGTTAAGATTACAAATGTAGACAGCCGTTGCCAACATTAAAAATTACATTGTTTTTGTTTACTACAATATCGATTAAGATTATCGATTATAGTTATTTTTAGTGATTTATATTTTTGTTTATGTTTGAGAATCTGTGACATATAATAAACAAAAGTTTATAAAATTATCTCATTTAAAATTTATTTAGTCAAAAATTTAATTTTTTTTTTTTATTTCATTCAATAAGTTGCAATTCTTCGCAAAGCATTAAATATTTTCAAACATTTTTTTTTCAGTTGTTTAATTTTATTAAATAAGAGATAAAATAGTTTTAAAAATAAAAAATAAACCTATAATATATATGTACATATTTACATATAACATTTGCATGCATACATGCCTGTGTTGTTTGTTTATTGAAAAATTTAAAAATGCAAGTTTTATGGATTGATCATCATTCATATTCTGAAGATGGCATTTTACAACAGAAACATAATTCTTTTATTCCCGAAACAGATTCCAAAAGTTATAGTTTACTTCAAAAACATAATTATTCATCAATTTCGAATATTAATTTTAATGAAAATATGGCAAAACTAGGAGGTAATTTTATTGTATATAAATAAATAATTGTTATTGTTATACACAGGTACAATGTGTATTTATTGTTATACATAGGTACTATTGCTTAATTTAATTATAAATAGTCTTTTGATATTTGTGAAAGGTACATTAAAAAGTTCAAAAAATTTATTCAGTGATTTTAATCAAAGTGTTGATTATATTGTTCATTTATTAATATATTATTTAAGATTGCTAAGACGGTGATATTTAAAATATCAGCCTGTCAGCATATAACAATTTTAAAGAATATATTATTTATATTTATGCATATGCATTGTTTTCATTATTATTTTAAAATTAAATCACAATAAAAAGATGTATAAATACATAAGTACATATATATAATGTACATATTATATACTAATATGTATTATGTATATTGTAAAAATAAATGCTTTTTGTTTATTTAATTTAGAATTGGAAGAAAATGATAAAAATGAGCATGAAAAAGATCATAGGCTTTAAAAATTTGTGATTTAATTATTATTTATTTGTATTATTATAATGATTTTAAAAATTAATAGTAAATAAAAGAAATTATGTGAAAATTATGTGTCGTTCTTGCCAAAAAAATACCATAGAATTTAAAAGAGGAACCTAACATTCAACTAATTGTTAAAAATTTGTTCAAATTAAACTGTGTACTTAATATTAAAAGAAAAATATAATTTTTTACATGTATTTTTAGGTGCTGCTTACTATGGATATACAAATATTTCAGTTAATCATGTTTTTGAATTAAGTCCCCTTTTACCATTTGGTATGTTACTTATTATATCACTTGTTATATGTGTTTTAATTTTATTTCGGAGATGGCCTGGTATTGTTGCTGGTATTATTGCTGGATGTTTAACAAGTTTATCAATTTATTTAATGTTAGTTACTTTAAGAAATCCTAAATTACTTTACGAATAGTATAGAACTGAGTTTACGTTAAATACTAAGAGAAAAATTTTAATTAACAAAAAAAATTAAGATAAGTTATGTTTTAAGGTTTTAATAAAATAAAAAAATATTTTTCAAAGATTTTACAAAAAAAAATATACTCAATTACGTTGTTAATGTAAAATGTACATATGTATATATGTAAATTTATGTACACATATGTGATTAGATCTACAACTATATTAGACTATAACTAAGAAAAATTGTTCTGAAAATTTTTTAAAAAACAATATTGTATGGAATTTTTACAAAGAACATTTTATTCAGATTTGGGTCTGTCATTAATGTTTACAAGAAGAAGAAGTAGATGTATAATTGATTTCTTATTGTGTATTATTAGGAGGACAACAACATTGTACAATTATTCTAAATTATAAAAAATCTGTACTATGTTATGTTTACGTTCACATTTGTCTCTCTATAATTATAGACCAAAAATTAATACAACTGTCGATGGGGACTCTTACTTAATTATTTCATAAATTAATAAAATTTTATATATATATAATTTTGAGAAATGATCTGGAAAGCCAATATATTTTTTACTATTATAAACAGATTTAAAAAAAAGAAGATTTAGGGCCTTTCCCATACGCATGTAGTTCTTGCAATGATATTAAAAACAAAATGTTAAAAAACTTGTTACTATTTAAAAAATGTAAAAAATCTGTAATCAAAAATGATACACAATATATTAAAAGTACACTCTGTATTCACAACAAATATTTTGCAAATTGTATCAAATTCGTATATGTTCGGATAAAATTTTCTTAATATAGAAAATATAAAATATTCAATAACTTAAAATGATCATTAATTAAAATTCCTATGGACCTACTTTTATATTATATTGTGGCAGATCAAACCGACGGATCAATCAACGGAATTTATTAACATTATTAGAAATTATTGGAAAATGCATTATTAGAATAAAATTCGATTATATGTTCAAATGCAACAGGTGGGCAGTTAACAGGGAAAGTAAATTTTATATTGCTATAATAAATATTGGAATTGATTTGAATTCAATAATATTAATTTTTTCTTTGCAATTAAAAGCTCTATGAGCATTATAACTCATGGCTTAAATAGTTTTCCATAGTGCAATAACCATGCTTGTTTCATTATTGTACGAGTACCATTAATATAGAAAATAAGGAAGAAAAAAATTCAGTTCAAATTAAATTTTTAGACTGGCTTTGTGTTGCATAGGTTTTTAAACTACAATTTCAGTAAAAAATTGTATTCCTTTTATTACAAAAAAAAGAAAAGAAAATAATAAAGAAAAACAAACGCTAATATCTAAAATAAAATAAATTATTAAATGTTTTCTAATTATTATGATTTAAAAGCAAAATTTACATTATTCAGTTTAATTTGTTATTTTAAAATTAATAATAATTTAACATTTGGCATTTTCTTTGGGAAAACTTAAAATAGAATTCTTAAACTATAATTATTATTCGATATTAACTTAAAAATAATATTTTTTTTTCTTTGTTTTCTTATATTAATATAAAATCGTATATCAGAACTTAAGCTATTATGGCATTTTCCGCTAAAGTCATTTATCGCTTCTTTTGTTAAATAATATAATAAAAAAAAAAATTCGAGATTAACAAATTGAATTAAAAAACTAAACAGAATAAGCATGTCCATTTACGATACCATTTTTTGAAACAGCATTAAAAATAGGTGTACTTTTAATAGCATTCGAAAAATCTTTTGAATTTCTACTAGGTTGAAAACTTTTACTAGCCATTGGTGATATTGGTTCTCCCCAAAACTTTAATATTGCAAATATTTTATGATATGCAACCCTAAAATTAAATAAAATTTGAAATTATTTTAATAAATTATAAAATTTTACTCTTATGTACATACCTATAATTTCTATTACTTGCAGCATAAATGAATGGATTTATTACACTTGAAGCCCATGCCATTACTGAAGCAATTATATGAAGCCATGGAACTGATGTATTTTGTTCATTATCTACAACATTTGCTAACATTAATGGTAAAAAACATAATAAAAATGCTAAAAATATTGTTAGCATCATAATTGTTAAACGATTATCTTCACGATTTCTATGCGCTTCACTTATACTGGTATTTAATGACCTTTAAGAAAAACGAAAACAAAAGAGAAAATTAATGGATTTATTAAATCTTTTTTTTTTGTATAATGAATTTGTATGTTACCGGTGTGCTTTTAATTTTTGTCTTTGCCTCCGAACTGTTAAATAAATACATGAATATGAAGAAATAATTACTAAACATGGCACTAAAAATCCAACTAAAAATAAAAATTTTTTGATCGATCTTCCATCTTTTTTTAATATTGTACAGGAGAATGTTATTTCGTCTAAACCTAATTCACCCCATATTCCGAGTAAAGGTGGTAACTAAAATATAAACATAAAATAATTCAAAAATTAAAAGAATATTAGTAAATTTGTTTTTAATTTCAAAAATTTAAAATTATTATTTTATTACCATCATTATAAAAGAAATTGCCCATACGAAAAATAGTTGTAAAGCAATATACTTTGGTTTATATATTGAAGGATATTTCGCGTGCCATGATATCAGAATATATCTGAAAAAAAAAATACTTATTATTCAAGTTATATTTGAAATCAGGAACAGTGCTACACAGTATTTTCACATATATTTTGTTATCCTAGATCCCATTAATTTCCTTCTAATCCGATTAAGTTGCTTCGAGAATTTAATTATTTTTAAGGAACTATTTTCCATATAAGAAATGTGTTTCATAGTTTGGGAAAAACATTACCCAAATTTTTAATAAAAATATTTAAGATGTATACTTCTCAATAATTGTTCAAAATTTGGAAAGGGCGTATTATACTTCGCATAATTATGTAGGAAATATACTACTCGTATAGTAATGTAATTGCACAAATTGAATTGAAAAATTCCTATAAGGTAAAAAAATAATAAATATTCTTTACAATTATACCATTAATTCAATTACAAGTGGAAGTGAACTTTACATTTTATATTGAACGGTAGCATAAGCCTTATTCAATTTATATAAATTAAAATAGATTTTAAAAGCTTGTGTACACCACGTAAAACTATAAGGAAATTGTTATGAATGCTATGAATGTCATTTGTTCAAAATACATATAAATGTAAGAATTGTAAATAATTCAACCATAGCATATAAAGATTTTAATTTGTTCTGCAATTTTAATATTTTACTGATAGAAAGTGCGTTTCAAATGATTAAATTGAAAATATAATATAGTTTCAAATAGTTCCAAAATAATTTCTTAAAAAAATATTAAATTCCAACAATAAAATTTTGAATAATCAAATTTAAAATTAAAAAGAAAAGCCATTAAAAATTGAAGCCGAATAATATTTTTTTCTTTTTATTTTTGTTTTAACATTAATAAATGCATGTATGTAAGTGTATACCTATTTAATGTGATTCCAACCATACTAAGTAGAGAGACAGCAACATTTCCATAAAAAATAACCGGAAATATTTTGCATAATGTTTCACCCAATGTCCAAGCCTATTTAAAAAAAATCCAAAAATTAATTGTTATGTTCAATAAAGAATAAAAAAAAAATTATAAAAAGTTTTTATTTTCAAAATAAATATTTTATATAATATTTTTGTGTAATGGAAAGATCACATGTACAACATTAGATTTAATGGATTTATACAAGAGATTAAATATGAACTGGTTGTTATCAAAATATTGTTATATCGCCATGGTATCGTTATGGTAAAGGAGGAGGTTTCTTACTCTTCTGCTGCTATAGACAGTTTTTTGCCTTAATTTTTTGATACGTTTGAAATTAAAGTACAATGAGCATATTCTACCAAATATTGGTAAAAAACATTAAAATATTTATGTAATTTTGAATTTGAATGAAAAGGTTTCCAGAAACTAAAAGATTTGTTTTTGTTTTTAATAATTTTGACAAAGTAGCCGATATGTAATTGCACCATCATACCATCATTCAAGCAAACAGTTTATAAAACAGTACATTTAGTTTTAACAATTAAAATTTTGAGCTTATCTTATTCGTATATCGATATATAGCCTTCGGAGATCTAAATAAAGTTGGGTCAAACCAATGGTTTGTATTGTAGCACTTTTCCCTTCAACAAGTGAAAATTCTGCTTTTAAATACAGTCTATGTACACCTATCACACTATAAAAATTATTTTCATTCATATACAAAACTATTTCTAGGATTGCATATATTTAGGATAACGCATATATGTAGTCTTTGAAATAAAGCAAAAATTAACATAAAAAGGGGTTAACATAATGCTCGATTTTAAGGGTTAATTGTGTAAGTTAAGAAAAATAATTATATTTTTTAGTGTCATGGAATTTATCGTTAGCTTTTTGAGTTTATAAAAATTTGGAAAAGCTTGCGGTTTCGGAAATATAGGGTGTCAAAAACTCAAATTTTACGAATTTCAAGAGGTGATAACTTGAGAGGGGGTGGAGATGGAAAAAAAATTTCTTCTAACGAAATGAACTATTTGTTAATGTCTAAAAGCCCCTAAAATTTCAAAGTTCTAGAATATAGGATCTAGAAGAAAAACGACATCAAAAATTTGGAAAAAAAGGACTTTAGATAACGGTAAATTTCAACGGCCATTTGTTTTACTAAAGTTTAACTATAGTATACTGCGATAGGGAAAGCAAGCCGCTGCCTTTCTGCGTTTGCAAAATTTCAAAAATGCTTATGGTTTCATTGCAACAAATATTTAAAAAAGGCCATTTTTAGGGTTTTGGGGGGGTATAACTTCTAGAGGGGGGGAGATAGGTAAAAATTTTGTTCTACGAAAATAAGTTTCTAGTAAAGATCTATGTATATATAAAATTTCAGCTTTCTATCTTCAAGGGTGTAGAAGTTTTGTAAACAGACACACGGACAGACGGACGGACGGACGGACGGACGGACAGACGGACGGACGGACGGACGGACGGACGGACGGACGGACTGACGGACGGACGGACGGACAGAGTGAAACTAATAAGCACTTTTTTCAAAAAATTTTTTGGAAAAGTGCTAAAAATGAAAGTCTTCTATTGAGATAATTTTCTTCTTACCAATTTTGTAGAAGAAAAACCTTATTATAATTTTATAAAAATTTAAACCAGTTAAAAGTTGTTTTTATGTATGAACGAATGTTCGAAATTTAGTCTAAATTTGGCACTCCGTTTATACTGCTATCAAATGGAAGTCTAAAATATAAGTACGTTATGTTTATGCTTTTGATCAATATCGAATTCTGTCGCAGCTATGATTTTATTATTCTAATAATTGATTATTCATTCAATTCTAAAATTAATTTAGTGAAAAATTAGAAATCGGAAAACAGAGAATTACTAAATTAGTTTGGTAATAAGGGCAATACCTGGGATAAATTTGGTTATGGTTGTATAAAATTTCATAAAAGCAGTATGGTAATGGAATATACACATTATATGCCTAAAAGAGTTTGGTGATAGAGCAATAAAATATGATTTTAACAAAATATAATGAAGGTTCCATAAGTTCTAATAACAGTGGTCATATAAACTTTAAAGCCTGCAACAAAATTTGTTAATAATATTTAAATTTTATAATAAAATTTTAACAGGAGCTATTTTGGAACACTTATCAAATTATATAACTGTTAGAAAATATTCGTACGGGTATCATAGAGTTACATTCGCAGGGCTCACACAGTGAACTTTCTCATTTTGGTATACTTTTTCATAAGAGGACAGATTTAAGAAGTAATAACTAAGGAGGGGAAGGAGATACAAAAGAATTTTTGCTTCTGTTAATATTCCTAAAAAAACATCAAACTTCATAAATTAGGCTGAGAGCAGTGTTAATGATAATTATATTAAAAAGTAATCATTGTATTTTGTTTTTCTAATTTCCTTTCATTTACATAATATATGTGTGTATGGTATGTACACCTACGTATATAGTAAAATTGAAAATATTTACCTCTTGAAAATAACGTATTGCTGTTAACGGTAAACTAAATGAACAAAATAATAAATCAGAAATGCATAATGATAAAACAAAGGCTGTAGTTGCATGACCTCTCATCTTAGGTGAATTTAAAAGTGCCCAAATTGTAATTAAATTTCCTTAAAACAAAAGAAACAAAAGGAAATATGCATGTATGTATGTATGTAATAACAATTTTGGAAAAATTTAATAAATATACAATGTATGTATATATGTACATAAGTATGTATATGCACAATGCAATCGTATAATAATCAATTTACCTAATACTCCAACAATAATAAAAATGCAAGCACAAATTGCAGCAAATAATGTCGCCTCGTGTGGATACACAGACACGCTCAAGTCGGATGTCATTGTACCTAATTTTTGTTTTTACTTTTTTTTTCTTATTATAATATTCCAGGGGGTCTGAAAATAAATAATTAATATTGTTGAATTTTTATTATTTTAAATTTCTTTTTTTTTTCCATAGGTAACTAAGTACATGTAAATCATGATAAGAAAATTTTAAAATAAATAAATTATAATGATAAATTATTTTTAATTTTTTATATTTTGTTTAAATAAACGCAACAAATAGGGGATACGCGCGCCGTGTTAATTATTATTATTAAAAATCGATTAGAATGTTTTCAAATGAATTATCGATATTATATTATCGTACAGTGTTGTTTTTGTTATTAAGTACACAAGATCTACCAAGAATAGTGTTTTGTGTTATGCCTTTTGTTGAAAAATTTTAACAAAACAATACTAAAAATTATTCTCATTAGTATTCTTAATAAAGAATCACGAGTTTTTTTTTCTTTATGACTATTTTTAGATCTACATACAAAACGTGTTGATTTTCGTTTTTACTTCATTTGTATATCACAACAATTAAAAATTCAACTCGGTTTCTTAGAGCCAATGAATTTAACAATTTGAGAATGCATATATGTATGTAAGTTATAACTGTATATAAGAATTAAATTTGAGGTTTTTTTTTTTTTGGAAATTCCTTAAGTGTACAATCGAAAATAATATTTTAAAAAATATAAAAATTGGTGAATCAATCTTATATTCAAAGCTCTTCTGAGAATTGTTATTTTAGGTTTTGTAAATTTGCTCATTTAGAACAGAAATGTTAAGGTGTCAATGATTTTGGTAAGAGCTTGGTGTACTTAGAACATTCTTAAATTTTTTTGACGAACGCTTGATTTTCAATATATTTCAAAATGTTCAAATAGCTTAGAATACCTACTTGTATAATATGTTGACGAACAGAAAAAGTTAGCCTATAATAAGCACTTATATTACGAATATTTTGAAATCATAATATGGATGGTTTATTGTGGCTTAAGTTCATTTGCAAGTGATTTAAGTTTTGAATTTCCAAAGCAGTGAAAATGTTAATTTGCTGGAATTGAAACACTAATTCGATAGAAAAGTAAACTTACCCTCATAAAAGTAAATAAGCATTCTACCAGATCTTTACTTATTTTTTACACCCAAACAGTGCAATGTGCCATTTTTATTTAAAATGTTCTTAAATCATTTTTGAAACAAACCGTCTGATGGCCTTAGTGCACTCAATTAATTTCTATTCATATAAGTTGAATTAAAAACACCAATATTTTATACAAAATAGCTTTTAATTTCGTTTACATTAAATTGTAAAGAAAAATAAGTGATCTCAAAAAATATCATGTTCTTGCAAAATAAATCTCAATGCGGAATGAATGCATTCTAATTTAAAACAATGAATGGTAAATAATTTATATTAATTTGTTGAAAATTTTTTAAGTATTTCGCACCTATAAGTATTTAACAATTAAAATTGAAGTTCATAATTTAAAACGGTTGAATGTCATCGTGTGAAAAATTCGAAAAAAAAAACATTTTATTGACTAATGATCTTGTGTTTAAAAAGTGGTTCTACATCGACTAACATAATTCCCAATATTCAAAATTATTAACATATTTTAAATTACATAATCAACTTAAATTATAAAAGTGGAGGAAATTTTTTCCCGAATAGTTGAATGAATAGAGTTCATCTCTTATATACGTATATAATATGTACATATACACATATACATAAATTTATTGTGGGTACATTTTTTATATGTTGGGAAATTAAAGGAAGTAGGTTGAATCTTCAAATATAATTATATAGATTACATTTTGGGTTTTTGATGTTATACTGAGAAACATTCAACTATTATGCATATAATATTAATCTCATCATGTTATATGCGTTCTCTCAACACACTATTCTACACATACATACATACTTATTAATATATAACAAATTTTTTTCTAAGGTATATTAAACTATCTACATGAATTTCTTAACAACGCAGGTGTTGAAGTGATCGTTAATTATAATGTTTGGAAAAATTTGGTTTTATTCTCAATTAAAGCAGGTATTTTTTAGGTTTTACTTTTAGGTATATGACGATTTCAACAATAATTATGTGGTTAAGAAAAAAAAATTTAAATTAACAAAATAACATTTGTTCCACAAAATTCATTTAATTCATAATTACGAATATTCGGAACATTCATGATAGAGCTGAATAACTTAAATCTTACGTTAGAAAAATGAATGAATTTTTCCAGTTGAATAAATGCATAATTTCTGCTTGTTAACTATTTTATTTTTTGCCTTTGTATAAATCAATGAACTATTACAATATTTACATATATGTATATACATATATTAGGAATGCACATTCCAGTACTTATGACTCAATACGTCGCATATTTTGCTAAGAAAAATAATTGAATAAGAATCAAAAGACAACATTGATAATCGCAGACAGACGACTTTAAAAGAATAAGATTTTTATCAAAAAAGTTAGTATTAATTGTAATAATTTGAAGAATTCAAATACAATCAATCTGCAGCAAAGATTTCAATGCTATGAAAGTGCAATAGAATAATAATTAAGTAATGAAATTTATTAAATAATTAACTATTAACAACTTTACCCATCTATTCTATTCGCAATATCCAAAAAATTTGAATAAATACAAAAACTTAAAATAGGAAAAATATACAGGAGGCGTCTAAATTTATTTTATAGTTTCTTTAATATGCACCAATTTACACAATACACGGCTATAATTAGTTATTTGTATGTTCGTCTAATATTTATTATATAGCATGCCTTGTTACATTCAGTCCAATTTGATTAATTTTCATTCTTCACCAGATCATTATGAATTTTTTTTTTGCCTGATTACGTACGAGTTCATTCAAAGTATACAATTTATTGTTAACAGAAACTTGTAGGGTTCAAGAAAATATGAAATTCATATTATACTTACATATGTAATATGTATGTAATGAAAATAAAACAAAAAACATTTTTACACTGAAAACATGTTAATAAATAAATAAATAAAAGAAAACGCGAGTCTAAAAAAAACAAATTTTTCTATTTTTAATTACAAAATATATATATACATGTATGTATATATATATTTATTTATACACATATACATTACATATAAACTAATTGAATAGTCGGGTCCACATGTTTGTTTTTTTTTTTTGCTGTGTTTTGGGTTCTCAAAAAGCAATAAACTTAAGTCAACCATTCAATTAAGATGGAACTGTCATTTCATATGGGATTAATTAATTTAAAAATACAAAAAATTACACAAGCTAAAATAAAAAACACACACTCGCACACACAAAATGTATTATGAAAACGTACTTGAAATATTTTATAAAAAGGCTAAAAAATATTTTAAAAACAATAATTTTCTTTTATAAAAAAAAATCATCCATAAGTATATCAATTTTTTTCACATACGTAATATGTATGTATGTATATATAACCCTTTCTAAGTATAACATATTTTGTAAGCATATTCACAAAGGTACATACATACATGCACAAAAATATTAATTTATTTTAAATACTATACGCAAATCAAATCCAAAAGAGTTCGATAGAAAACAAAAGATTTTTGTTATATTTTTTTTTATCTGAGTATTGTAGACAAGGAACATTAAGTAAGATCAAACGAAAAAGAGTTGCAAATACTTTTCAATAATTAAATATTTTTTTTATTATATAGAACTGGTATTGAAATATTCACTTAAGTATTAGGGACCATAAAATTTTGCATAGATCCACAAAGTAATAATTTTTAAAATCTGTTATATTGCATCAGAGAAAATTATATAACAATCTGATTTGTGCTGGAAATATATGTGAAATGGAATTGTATTGGAATTAAAATAAAAGTGTTATAATTGTTTTAATTACGGCATAAGAGTACACTATTGGGTAAGAGTACGATTTCTGTACTTTCATAACTTCCATAAAATTTAAATCATAATTTCACTAGCATATAACAATATTGAGAAATATCGCTCATTATCATGACTTTGAAGAAAAAAATCCATCCAAATTCAAAAAGATTAAATAATTAAGCTAATCAATTAAGTTTTTATCTAGTGTATTTGAAAGTTATCTTTGAAAATATTTAAATAAAAGCTCGTTTCTCGAAATAGAATCTATATCCCTGGATTATTAAAAAGTTACAGTAAATATGAAGATATTTAACAAAAACGAAAATCCCTGGTTTTGTTTTGTAATAAATAAATTTTCTGTTACAAAAAAAGGCTCATTGCAATTATGTGTATACGTTCTTTAAACTTTTAAAATTTGTTTGCTAAATTTTATACCTAGACTTTTCACTACAAATACTTTGAAACTCTAAAATAACTATGAACAATTTTAATACAGGAATACGAAAGTCATAATGAAATTTTTTAATATTCTAAATATGGTCTGGTTTACATCTCTAGATATTAAGAATATATTAATCCGCATATAAGAAACGCCATATGGAAGAATTTGTTTTTTAAAACCAAAAAAAAACACAAATCTTTTTTATTTATGGTTTTGTTTCGCGCCTTTTCTTTCATTTCACATAACGCAACACAAGATTGAATTGCATAAAAAGCCTCTTAGAAGATTACAAAAAGACATTAAAAAACAATGCATTTGCCTTTAACAAGAAAGTTGCCAGAATAAGTGAAAAGATTGTTTTGAGTTATTTTTTTTGAAAACATCAAATAAAATCTTATTTGTTTGCAATAAGTTCATAAATTTTGTATTCGATATTAAGGTATTTGACGATTTTTTCGATATTTAGGATCATAAGTACAATTTACGTTTTTCCTTCATAATCTTCGCGATTCCGTTCCTAAAACTGAAATCTAGGCCTATATATTGTTTTCATTTCAAAAATGAAAGTGAAATGTATAAGTGTTTGTATCTCTTGTTCATATCGAAGAAAGTAAAGCAGTATGATATCGGACATGAAGAATCGCTCCGACGCTAGCCTCATTTGTACTGTTATGCGAAGACCCTTATTATTTCAATGAAGAACCTTCATAGTAG